GATAGATAGATAGATAGATAGATAGATAGATAGATAGATAGATAGATGTTAGACAGATAGATACATAGATAGGTAGAACTAACTTATAAAATATGCAAAGGAAATATGGAAAGAACTCTCCTAAACCTCAGGGTAGAAAAAGTAGTTTTCCAAAGATTTTTAAAGTATCAGTGAAGAAAACATGTTTTAAAAGTTGGAATTTATTAAATAAAAAATGCTACTTTTCAAGAAAATGTTTAAAAAGTTGAAGCTTTTAAAACTTTCTAAAACTAATGAAAATGGAGGTAAATATAAAATTTGATGGATTTTGATCCAAAATGTACAAAAACCAGTTACTTAATACAAAACATAGACAACCAATTTGTCCAGACATGTACCTGTGAACAGACTCTTCACTGACTATGGCATTAAAGACCAAAAATACATAAGAAAGTGTCAACATTGATTAGTCAAAAGACAAGCACAGTTACAAACCACACTAGGATGTCACTTCTCAGCCACTAGAGAGGTTAAATTTGCAATTTCTGACATCTGCGCTGACATGATGTGGCACCATGGGAGCGTTCAAGGACTTTTGGTAGAAGCATAAAAGGTACAGGGACGTTTTGGGAAATAACTTGGCAATATCTTATAAAACTATGTACAGACCAAAAGGACAATAATTTAATTTTTCTGAAAGTCCATGTTCACAAAATTATTTATGTAAAAAGTGCTCAATCTAAGAATGTAGACATCATTCAGATGTCCATTAACTAGTGATGGGAAAAAATGGTAAAGCCATGAAACAGAACATTTCATAAAAGAAAGGAACAACTTCCTGGGGTATGTGGCATAGGGGGAATCACAGAATCATAGTGAAAAGGGCCAGACATCAGACATTGTATAAAGACATGTGATTCTTTGGATGGAATCCATAAGCAAAATGAAAGGGGCTCTTGGCAATTAGGATGTGTGGGGTGCAGTTGGTAGTCACATAAAGAACTGTCTTGAAAATATGATAGGGAAATTTCTGAATAGGTAACAGTAAATGTTGTGACTAGTGTATTAGGCACACATATGTACATTGGGTAAAATGCATTGAATCCCATAAAATCTGCATTAAGTACACATATATGTATATTGGTTAAAATGCATCAATCCATACAAGCTGTGCATCGTATACTACATATATTATAGTACATGTGAACTGTTTCTTGATAAAGTTAGTTTAAAATGACATAAGCAGTTTCTATATCCTTATATGATCATCTAATGAGAACCACCATATGTACTTATTACTCACAGTCCAAAAAAATGTTTATTATTATGCTGATTTGGCATTTGGTACAATTTTAATAGCCACAGACTCAAGAAGAGCCAGCAGTGAGTCTTCATAAATAACAGCTGTAGTCGTATTAAATAGAGGCCACTGACTTTATGGGAAGCCCTGCTAATGAAGCATTGAGCTAGTTTAAATAGAGAAAGATGTTGGAGGATCCAGACCCCACCAGGCATGAATCTTCTGACAGTGCTGGGCTCCGAGGAACAGAATAATTAGAGACATGGGCCTCCCACACTGTGTGGAGCCATGGGGCTTCAGGAAGGCTCCCTCCCTCTCTTCCTAACTAGTGTAACTGGTTTCAATTGCGTTGGTTTTATAGTTTATTTTACGTTCGATCTGTAAATTTATTTCTGTAATTGTCTAGCAGTTGTACGCCCAAGGATATGCAGCGTTTTGTACTTGCATATGTTTAAGTAAAATTAAAATAAAAAGAATTTTACATTGGCGGTCCGTGCGCACAGTTTCTCTTTTAAAATCCATCAATACATTACTCAAGACTGGAATATGCTGAGTGTTTCTAAATGGTGTTGTAACTGGAAAAGGTCCAGAAATCTTGACTGGAAGCTGGGGCTGCCAGAAAGAAAAAAAAAAACTATAGCAAAGCTGGCAATGGGGACTCTATGCACAATTCAGGCCAGTTCTGCCTCTGAAAGCACACAGGCGGAGCTACTGGGGCGGCATGAAAGAAAGTTTTGTGCAGAAAAGGCAGTGACTCCTTTCCTGAGTGAGAGACCACGCTGAAGAACTGTGAAGCTAGGCTCCAAATCCACTTACAGTCTAATCATTACGGGGGGATTTTGACGTTTGCAGAGAGTCTCAGCAGCCACTGTTTGAGCTGTGGCAGAGCTGAATTCAATTAGTGAATTTAACGAAGCATTTGATTTACCAGAGCTGCATATTCTGTATTTGCAAAAAAATAAAAAAATCAAATTCAAATCTGCTTGGGAGAGGAAGAAGAAGGGAGAAAAGAAGAGGAGGAGAAAGGAAATGAGAAAGAGGATTAGGGGAAACATATAAAATAGAGAAGAAAAAGGAAGAGATGGAGAGGGCAGAAGAGTGGTAAAAGAAGAGAGAAAAGAGGGGAGGAAAGACAGGAAAGAGGCGAAGGAAGGAGAAGAAGCAGAGGGGAAGAGGAGCGGAAGAAGAGACAGGGAGTAAAGAAGACAAGGAGAAGGAGGAAGAGAATAAAAAGGAAAATACTGAGTACAGGTGACCCAGCAGTTGAAGAGATAAACACATCTGTGAGTCTGGAAGCTCCCACACAGCACTATAAGGAGTTGATTTGTCTTCTTGTTTGAATTTTCTTCTGTGCTGTCTCCATTTCCTGTAGA